ACAATGCTGAAGGATGAGTGCTGTATGGGGCTGGGATTGATGATTCTGTGTAAGTTTAAAAAATAATTTTTTTTCTTCACTTTTTTGCTTCACAAATTTTAAACGCGTTTTTCTTAAAACTACTTTTTCGAAGTCCGTGTTCACTGCCATTTGAAAACTACTCGACCGATTCATTTCAAATTTCGTACACATTTTTTTCATGTAAAATACCTCCCCCCTACGTTTAGTAAAAATTTTTTTTTTAACATTAAGGGTGTTTCCCACCCACAAAATGGCGGAAATTTTAGTCGAAAATAACGGTTCACACTTTAGATGACCGTCAAAAATTTTTAAATTAAAAAAAAATAATTAGAGAACGTTGGGGGGAAGATTTGTTTATAATTTAACTAAATTTTTATGGTTTTTCATTTTCAGATAATTTCCAGCCGAGTTACAGTGAACACCGCAAATTGTTTTTTTTTCAAGACGTCCTGGGGGAAGCTCTGTCACGGGCTAATGGTTTAATATTTTTGTATGAAAAATTTATAGAACATAGTCAAAACTATGCTCAATAATGTATAGAAGGTTTGAATAAAATTGCTCAATCGATATTTGAGATAAAAAATCACAAAAAAAGTGTTTTTTTTTACGCTGAAATCCAGACCCCTCCCTTAAGTTTCTTAAAATTGTAGGCTGTCACTAGTTAAACACATGTTAATTTTTATGTACCTACTATTGACACCCGCTATTTTTAAATCATAATTAAAATTTATCAGCTTAAAACAATAAATCTAAGATTATTTAGAGTTTAAATAACCTCAAATAATTTTGGATGATAGGCTTATATCAGAATTATATAGAAAAATTCGTTATTAAAAATACGCTCTCTCTTAGCGAAATTTTAAATAAACTAGCCGTAGTGGTCTACTCGGAAAAATAAAAATTTTTTGCAGTTAATAATTAATACCCAGGCATAAAATTTTATTTTTTTCTTACTAAAAAATTTCTAAAAATTGATAAAAAGCAATGTTTATTGTGATTTAATCATAAAATTGATTAAATAATCAATCAAATAAAACAACATGTCAATAATAGGGGCCCTGTCAATAATAGGGGCTTTTACCTTATTCATAAAAAAAAAAAGTGTGCGAACCAGAGTACACAGGAAAGAAGTGAAACTTCTTTATAATAAATCATTTTTCTACTATTAAATAGGGTCGATAAAGCTCAAGAAAAAAAATTTTTCCGTACTAGGGGCCCATTCATTAATTACGTAAAGACAATTTTGGTGACTTTTGACCCCCCTTACCCCCATGTAAGTATACATAAGATTTCTTGAACTCCCCCTCCCCTTTCTTACGTAAAATTCTATCTTGATATTCTAAATTATAAACTGTTATGCTAGGAAAGGATCAGTTTCACTAAAACTTACAGGTCAACGTGGATCCATCATTTTTATTTTCTATGACAAGTAATAATGTTTTTTAACAAGAAATGTTTTTTATTTTTTAAATAGCAAAAATACGATAATACACGGAAAAATGTACTATAATTTTTTCTATAGAACCAAACATGAATAACAATAAAAACATATGAAATTGTATTAAGTTATTTTTTTTAATAAGCAATAAAAATTATTTAAATAAAATAAAAATTCGACTGTACACTTTAAAATTAAGAAAATTATTTGGAATCCAAAATGGAATTAGATTTTTAATATTGAATTTTGATTCACGAAATATTACGTAAGAATTTCACCCCCCTCCCCCTAACATAAGGACGTAGAGATTTTTTTAAACCCCCCTCTCCTTCAATACCCTTACGTAATTAATGAATGGCCCCTTAGGGGCATTCCATAGTGACTGGTGAGACATTTGACTCTGAAATTCCATCAATTATCAACAACATCCCTTTGTCAAAAACCTCGATTACTTTATAAGTTTCTCGTAATTATCATTTTACTGAATGTGACTGGTGGGACATCGAAAAATCCTTCTCTCTTACCGCGGCATATTTAAAGTCGAATTTCAGTTCGACCACTAAACTTTTAAAAAATACATTCTTCTCAATACAAAATTTATCCTACAAACATTCAATATTATGAAGAATTAGACTGATTACCTACGTAGAAACAAAAAAAAATTTTTTTTATTGTGATTAGGGTAAAAGACCCCATTAGTGGCGGGGACCCCATTACTGACGTTTTCTTTGATTTTGGTACCTACTCAATTAATGAAATCATTAATTTCAATAATGAATATATTATTTCTAATCTTTAAGACCTTTAGATAAAAAAAAATTTTAATTTTTATTCCAAGTAAAACATTTTTTCATTGAAAGAAAAAGTGCCACTAATGGGGTCTTTTGCCTTAGTGAGATAGACATTTGTGACTGATGGGACAAGTACAAAATGTGTACATGAAGTTGTTTATTAAAAAGACTTAATATTATTTCAACCTTAGAAACATTATTGTTTATATATTTAACTATAAATTATTTAGGATAAATAAAAAAAAACTAATTAAAGAGCACAAATATAGGATTTAGCATGCTGACAATACGATCTTGATAAAATTAGGTGTTAATTAATAACGAACATAAAATAAATTTGTTCTTAAAACTTTATTGATAAATATGTAAGTTATAATAAATATAAAATGAATTTGTTCTTCAAACTATTACAATAAATATTTTAAGAATAATTTTTATGAAGATTTACGTCCAATTTTTATTCACTGTCGCTGGAGTCATAGACTTCAGAGTGATTTAACTTTTCTTCTCGGATTATTGAAACCTTTTTATATTCAGATGATGATGATTTCCTCAAACATATGCTATCAGACTGCTGCTTCTTGGTAGGGCTCTGAGGCAGAGTTTTTTTCGTTTTTATTACTGCTTTCTTTAAAGTATTTAAACATTTGTATGGCCCCAGTTTTGAACTGTTATTATTTGGTACTTTTGCTAGTTTTTTCTTTTCTCTCTGTTTTTTTTTACGCAATCGTTCTTTTTCCCTGAAAGATTCTCTTTCCTCCCGACTTTTCTCGCTCTCTCGTCTTTTTTTTTCTCTCCGTTTCTCATCCCACACTCTTTGCTTTTCCTGAACCTCCTTCCATTTATCCTTATCCTGCCTCATCCTCTCTCGAGATTTCCTTTTTCTCTCTGCTACATTCATCTAAAACAAGCAAATAAATTGTTTAATGAAAAATAGACAAACATACTGGAGCATGCAAAATTAAATTCAATATGAGCATAAACTATCGCCAAATTAGTAATTAAAAAAAAATTTAATTTAATTGAAGGTCACTAAGAGGAACAAAGCTGTAAATTTCAGTACCTTAACTAAATTCTATCATGCATTGACTATAAGCCAGAGTCCTACCAGTCACATGTGACAGGGGACTGTTGGGACATATTTTAAAAAATCCTCAAAATTACATTTTGGATTTTTTGGCAGTTTTAAGAAGTTTAAATAATTTTTAATATATTTGTTACTTCTACAAAGAAAAAAAATTGAACAAGTCAGATTTGAGGTTAGCAAAACTACTTTTCTATCTTTTTGCGTGACTGGTGAGACATCCGATAAACTTATGTTCAAATACAAAATATACAAAAACTAACCTACCTTTTCATTCAAATTAAACGTAATTGTTTTCTTTATTTAAATCTTATTCTGAAATACAATATTTTACTAGCAGGAATGACACATTCATAAGTCTACCAGTTACTTCTCTACCCCTCTAACACGTCTACCGTAATTAACTATACCACTAAACAGCCCTACCAATTGCAAGCATACCAGTTACTTCTCTACCAACATTTAAGTCAACCAATCAGAAAATCTACCCGTAAAAAACTCTACCGAATTGAAACTCTACTATGTGTCAAACTATACCATAACAATCTCTATCATTAATATCTCTACCTAAATTAATGTCAACTATATAAAAGCCTACCATTTTACATCTCTATCAATTTAATATCTACCAGAAACAACTCAACCATGTAAGAACTATGCCAAAGTTAATTTATACCAAATGGATATCTCTTAGACGTAAGGTTGACGCATGCGCAGTGCGAATATTTAGAATACAAATATTCAGATAATTAAAAATGTTAATTAAACGAAAAATAAACAATGTAAAGTAGGAACAAACGTTTTTTATACATGAACAATCATAAACCGTGGTTTATTGACCCACATTGCTAACAAAATATTAAAAAATGCGATAGGGGGGCTAATTTGTTTATAACTTACGTTATAACTTAAGAGCACATTTTTAATAAATTTTTTTTAAATAAATAAATGGAGAACAAACAAATGTTTATAGTGAACAATAAAGAACAAACGACGAACTAACGATGTAATAAAAAAAAAAGTTCAAAAATTAAAAATTGAAAAAAAAAAAATTCTCGGGGGCTAACTTTGATGAGCTGAATGTGCCGCAGAAATTGATTAGACGATTAAAAAAAAAGTTTGCCAATTTAAGGGGGATGGCTGTGAGCATCGAAAAAATAAGTGATTTTCGGGAATTTTTTTGACTGGGATAATAAAGGAATTTGGGGATCGGGTTTTTTTTTTGTTTTATAAAGTATACATTGCAGATTATTCTCCTAAATTTTTATCCAAAAATATCATGTTGTTACAAAGTTATTAGCATTTTTATGGGGCACCAAAAAAATTTCCCCCTACATGATGCGATTTCTAACTCAAAAACCGATTATCTAAAACAAAAAAACAAAAGAGCGTTGTAATCTGCATGCGTGTTGTTATCGTTGCACGTAGGGGATTTTGAAAATTTGGATTTAAAAAAAAATGGCGACATATTAAAAATTTTTTCGTTTTTTTTCCTCATTTTTTTGGATTCAAACAGCCCTAAAAAATCTTAAAAATCAAAATTTTCAAAATCCCCTACATGCAACTATAGCTACTGAACAGATGAATACGGAAAAAAAGAAAAGTTGCAAATCGGTTCATATTTATGCAAATTACAGTTCTCATCAGTTTAAAAAAGTAGTTTCGAGAAAAACGGGTTTTCGTCGGAGTGCCGCGCGTGTAAAGTCATATGAAAATGAAGTTAGCCGACATTTCAAATTTTTTAGAAATTTTTTATTTAAAAAATTTCAATTAAACAATTAAAAGAAAAATTGTCACATGTTAAAAACTTGAAAAACTATAAGTACAATTTTTTAAAAAATCTTTTTAGTTGTAATTTAATTAAAAAAAAAAAAAATCAAAAAT